GGGGTGAGTGGCCATAGGGGCTTTTCAGGTGGAGATGCAGGGCCTGTGTCAAGGACTGGGAGGTGGTGCTGGTGCTCTGGGCACTGGAGGAAATGGGAGATCCTCTCCTGTCTCAGGTTCTTACCTTATTGCACAAGGTGGGAGATGGTCTGTGCTTCTGCAGTCTCTGAAGACCAGGTAGAACCATAGAATCGTAGAATAGTTTGGGTCGGAAGGGGCCTTAAAGATCATCTAGTTCCAACCCCCCTGCCATGGGCAGGGACACCCTCCACTAGACCAGGTTGCCCAAAGCCCCATCCAGCCTGGTCTTGAACACTGCCAGGGAGGGGGCATCCACAGCTTCTCTCAGCAACCTGTGCCCGTGCCTCACCAACCTCAGCGAAGATTTTTTTTCCTTATATCTAATCTAAATCGACCCTCTTTCAGTTTAAACCCATTACCCCTTGTCCTGTCACTACACTCCCTGATAAACAGTCCCTCTCCATCTTTCCTGTAGGCCCCTTCAGGCACTGGAAGGCTGCTCTAAGGTCTCCCTGGAGCCTTCTCTTCTCCAGGCTGAACAGCCCCAACTCTCTCAGCCTGTCCTCAGAGGAGAGGTGCTCCAGCCCTCTGCTCAGCTTCATGGCCCTCCTCTGGACTCTCTCCAACAGCTCCATGTAAGGGATGTGAAGAGACATGAAGGGAAAGGAGTGGGATGGGCTGTGCAGCAGATCAGTAGCAAAACAGCGATTAGAAGGAGCTTTCCTGCTGTGCAAACTGATGCCCTTTTTTCAGACCAGTTGGTTCCGACATGCTGAAAGCTGCTTTTGTTCGTGTGCCCGTGTATGTGTCTGATGGGTTTGTCTTGTGTGTTGCAGATCAGTCGTCAGTCCATCGATGCTCTGAAGGACTGGTTCAGGGATGAAATGCAGAAGTCTGACTGGCAGCTTATAGTAGAGCTGAAGAAAGTGTTTGAAATCATCTAGATAACTTTTTACAGCAATGGGGAGGCAGGAATAAACACGCTATTCCTGTTCTAAAAGTTACCAACAAAGTCATATATTGAAGACAGTGTTGGATATATGTTTGGGAGGAAAATATGTGGATAAAATGTTTTCCATGAGAAACCAAGAAATTTACACTGGTTTGACAGTGGTCAATTTACATGTTCCCATGGTTCCGACGTGCCTGTTCACCTCTCCTACTGCCCTTCCTAATACTGGCTGCTGTTTTAAAGTTTGCCCTTCCTTCTCTTACACCTTCCTTCTACCCCTTTTTCCCTCCCTCTCTCTAAGATAAAATAAAATAAATTGAATTTTTATTACAGAACTAAAGCTCTTTCACTTTTATACTGATGAGATCAGTACTGCAGTATTTGATTAACCAAGCTTCTGCAGACTTTGTGATTCTTGGGACATTTTTGATGTAAGAAGTACTTCTTTATTTATGCATACCTCTTCCCTTGACTCTCTTTTCCAACATTCTTCTGCTTTGTGCCTATAGAAATTTTTTTAAATAGAAAATTAGGCAATTGGATATTTCTGTATTTGCTTTGTGTGAAACAATGATGTAAAGCATAGTTGGCCGCCTTTTACTGCTTGTACAGTTCATGAAAGTCGACCTGTAATCATTATAACGCAGAGCCGCAAATAAAGGAGATGGACATAGTAGCCCATTTGTTTTACAGTTTGCTTCAATAAACAAAGTTCCACATCATGGGCTGTGCCAGGCAGAGGCTTGTGCCTCTCTGCTTGGCAAAGTAACGGAGGTGCGTTTCTTCCTCCTGGTTGAGCGCGCGCTGCGCGTCATGGTGATCTTGGTGGCTCTTACTGTGTTCCCGGAGCGCTGGAGCTGCAGGCCAGGTGTTGAGCAAGTCACAGTTCCCAGAAGGGCTCTGCTGGGAGGAGCTCAGAGGTGGCATCTTTTCTCCAGCTGCTGCTCAGTTGTGGTAAGCACCTGCAAAATGGTTGTCTGCGAGTGAGCGGTGACTTTGGATGCTGCGTCAAAGCTGTTGAGTCATCTGACACTGTGGGACTAAACCAGTTCAAAAGGCGTTTGGTTAATGTCACCGCTGATGAGCGAGGATCAGTGTGTAATCCCAGCGTTCTCCTGCCCTTCCTTCCCCTATGGCTCCCTGCTTAGGATGCCAGCTTGCCATCCATTTCTCACCAGGTAGGCTCCTGGTAACCTCCAGCTCATGATGAGAGGAGCTAAACAAATGCTTCTCAAAAGCACAAGCTGAAACAACATTGATAATGATTGTTCATGTAGCTGAGATTTTTAGCATTTAAAATATTTACAAGAATTTAACTTGCAATGAGCAGTTTGATCAGATTTCTTCTGTCACTTTTTTTGTTGGAAAAACCTGAATTTTATAATTGGGATTGTATGGACACCATTACAAAGGAACATTTAATAACTTACCTCCTTTGGCAATGGAATTTAACTTACCAGAATTTTTTTTTTTTTGGTTTGTTAGACTTTAAACTTGCCATGAAAAGGACCTTTAAATATGGTTGCCGTGTGGTGCAAATTCACATCGCTAGGTGTGTCGGTGGTTTAGAATAGAATGATCACAGTGAGGAGACTGCATTTAATTGTTATAATTTTCTTTTACAAACTATGCAATCATGAAAAGTACACTAATAAAAGAAGTTCTTAAGAACCCAGATGTCAAACATTGTGGTTGTGATGTATTCTTAGTTGTTTCCTCAACTTGGGGAGGGTGTGCTTCCCAGAGATAAAAACTCTGGGAAGAGGATTGTGTGACTTTTGCAGGTTGCTGTTGTGGAACTGACATCTTCACTAAAAGGCTTTTAACTGTTGAATATAATAGTTAAGGGCTTGAAGCGGGGATCACTAAGGGAGAATGAAAATATAATTCCAACTAGCCTCACTCAGCTAAGTAACGCTTGACCCAACTTGAGCTGCAGACATCAGTCTTAACTGACCAGGGGCTGGCTGAGGTTGGAAGGGGCCTCTTGCAGGCCTCAAGAGCAGGTTCCCCAGGACTCTGTCTGGTTGGGGTGTGAGCACCTCCACTGATGGAGGATCCACAACTCCTGTGGGTCAACCTGTTCTAGGGGGTGGGGTGGGTGGGTGTGTTTAAAAGGAACGTTTTTGCACCAGTTTGTGCCCATTGTCTTGTGCCCTTTCACTTGGTACCACAGAGGTGTGTCTGTGTCTTCCAGCTGGTTATACATGGGGTGGGGGGGTAAGAGATCCCCCCCAGCCTTCTCTTCCTTCTCTTCCTCACTCCCAGCCCTCTCAGCCTCTCCATGTATGAGAAGCTCCACACCCTTAAGCAACTTTGTGGCCCTGTGTGGGACTCTCTCCAGTATGTGTGTGTCCCTCCTGTACTGGGGAGCCCAGAACTGGACCCAGCACTCCAGCTGTCTATCACAAATGCTGAGCAGAGGGGGAACAATCATCTCCATTGACCTCCTTCTGCTGTGAGTGAGTCTTGCTGGACCAACCAACCCCCCAGGACCTTCTCTGCAGAGCTGCTTTCTAGCTGGTTGCCTGCTGTACCTGGGGTGGTTCCTCCCTGGGTGCACAACTTGGCACTTCTCCTTGTTGAACTTGACAAGGTTCCCCCAGCCTATTTCTGCAGCCTGTTGTCTCCAGAGAGCACAGCTCTCTGCTTGTGTCACCAGCCACCTTGCTGGCAGTGTGCTCTGCCCTGTTATCCAGGTCATTAATGAAGGTGTTGAACAGGACTGGACCTGGTACAGACTGTGGGGTTACACCACAGGACTTTGTGCTGCCCAGGTAGTTCTCAATCCATGTGCCTGCCTCTAGCCCCCTATTTCATCAGCTTGTCTATGAGGATGTTACAGGAGATATAAAAAGCCTCACTAAAGTCCAGGGGAACAGTCTACTGCCCTTTCCTGATCCATCACCTTGTAGAAGACTGCCAGGTTGGTACCTCTCCCTGTGGGAAGCCTAGGGCACAACCTCAAGCTAAAAAAAAAATGTCATCCCTGCTGTAACCAGTGAGTGACTGCAGAGTGCTCCCTGTTCTAGCTGCACTAATCTGAGTGCAGCAGCTCCCACCCTGTGGTTGGTGCAGATGCTTCCAGCCAAGCTGGTGCTGCAAATCCTGCTCCAGGGCTGGCTTCAGTGTCCATTCCAGCATTCAGTTCTATGGGCATACACCCATCCAGGGACATGTGAGGTACTTCTGGTTTCCCTTCTCTCCCATCATTTCTTCAGAAAATGAAAAGATTTTTTTCCTACCACCTTTTTCTTTTCTTTCTTGGATTTTCTTCAAGTGGTCTTCAGTCTTTCCAGGCAGCTGACCAGCCTTGCTTCACTGCATCAGGCCACAGGTATACGAGACTGCTGTACATCTGGAAAAAGCAGACTTGCCCCCAGCACAGACTGTAGAGATGGAAGCACACCCCTCTCTACCATGGACACCAATAGTGGGGCTGTTTATTTCACTTCTGCTACTCACTACAACCTATTTTGTTATGCTGGATAAAGGAAATGTGTGCCACAGGCTGGGCAGAACTCGGGAATTTTAAGAGTGGAACGTGGCTCCATCCTGAGCAGGAGCAATGCAGAGGATTGACACAGGCTTAAAAAGCGGTCCATGTTAGCTCCTCCCTCCCACGCTCCTTTGCAGTGCTGCTTTTGGGTAACTGTTTACAGATCTCCATTTGTTTTCCTCCTCAAATCTCCTGAGGTGATGGCACACCTGAGTACCTAGAGCTCAGAGAGCAATTACACTTCAGCTCCCTCCTCGTGTGCTTTGGGAGTGGCTGGGCTGTGCTGGTTTCTGTCCTTGAAGGCTGAAACTGAGTATGTGCTAATAGTCTTCCCTTGGCTTAAAAATCTGCAATGAAGTCAGCGGAGAAGAAACAAAAAGCAGCCAGGTGAATGCACAGCAGTCTCCTACATGTGTTGAGGCAGCGTCACTATGTAAAACTTTGTGAAATGAATCAAAGTTGCGGCTTTAATAAAAGGGGTTAGCTATATTCAAACTGAAGCATCACAAAATAGAATCAGTACAAAAATATACATACAGTTCTTTATTAAACAACTGTAAACACTTCACTGTAAAAATCCATAAAACTTTATAAACAAACATTTTGTAAATAGATTCTATACTACAATAAAAGAATTTTAACACAATTATTTACATGCAATACTGACAAATTTGGCACTTTCTGAAAAGAAATGTACAAAACACTTTGTTGTTTAAAAAGAAATTTGAAATTATAAAAACTCAGGGCATTACTATCATGCACTTTGCAAATACCTCACAAGCACTTATGGCACAGCTAGCAGAGAGCTCCAGGCTCTCATCAAGCTCTTTACTACAAGTTCAGATAACTTTTAATGTGCTTCCGTAAGTTTGTTGTAAAACTACCTGAACATTGTCAAGAATGAAGTCAAATGCCATATTCCAAACTGATTCCACAGATGACTGCATTAACCTAAAGGGGAAAAGGAAGAAGAGGGAGAAAATTACCATTACGGAATCAGTCCTTTTTACAGTACATTTTAGTCTTCATACTGGAAAACAAGATGACAACAGCTGACAATGAAAGTATTTGGATTTGCTCTTGGTAAAGCCCTATCTCTTCAAATACACCAAGTCTTATCTAATGCCACAGCTTCCTCTGCCATTCAGTGGTGAAATTTCTGATTTGAACAACGTCACACCAATCTGTAAATGTTAGTATTTTGCAGTGGTTGTAAGCCTGCGATTAAAGTGGTGACCTTCTGCCAACCTCATACTGAAGAATCAGAAATGGCAAGCTTCTGGATCCTGATCCTTCCTTCCTCATTGCAAGACACTGATGCTATTTCTTTCTTCCAATGAATGACAAGGGCGATCAAGACATTTAAATAATAGGTTTAGGGGGAACTATGTTGTGTTTATTGCTAAAAATGGAACCAAATAATGGAGGCCACAGGGAGCTGTGAGTTACCTCTATCATTTAGCTGCTACTAGAAGCAAATTAAGGAAATGCCCAGGGAAAAAAAAAAAGCTCTGTCCTCTCGAAATCCCCTTCTAGATCACTATTACAGGAGAGCAGAATGTTCCTACGCTTACAGCTTTGCGAGACCTAACATCAGTGTTGTAGGGACAACTGCCTATTATCCAACCCCTGATTCCTTGTCCTACGCTTGTTACCAGGCTTTGCAGGCCCACTGCCATCAGTGCAAATCTCACACGCAGGGACCAGGAACAGGACATGGCGCTTTCTGAAGTTTTGTAAGGAATTTACTATATAGCATTCTACAAAACTGTTAGCTGCACTGTGCGTTTTGCATTTGCTAAGGACTAAAGACAGCCCATAATATATAAGCATAGCAAAGTTTTTACATTGCTGTAGTCTTTTGGGTGTTGATTAATTCTGTGAAATAAATAGTTTCCAGATTGAAGACAGGGAAAGCTGAGCTCCATAGCTAAGTACCAGTTAGTAAGCAAGCCATAAATGGAACTTGGGCCTCCTGACTGATGGGAAGAGTAATAGAAGCACAATAACTAAGTAATAAAAATGGATTTAATGGGTTGGAGGTGAGACAGAATCCAGATACAGCAGGAGAATGAAATCAGATGAAACAAAGGAAAGATCTAAGGTTACATGAAAAACAAATGAAAACAGGATGAAGAAAAGGGACAATGATGATAAAACCTATATCCTTTGTCTGGAAACAAAAGACTTTGTAGCAAATGCTAGCAAATGCTACTATTAATTTTTTACAAAAGTGCCTATTTTATCTGCCCAACTTCCCCCCCCCAGTTTTTTTTGAAAAATATTGACACTCATCGATGGAATGTCTCATAGGCTTGTGGCCTCACATTGAAGCATCTAGTGCATAAGTGCTAACAAAACCAGTTTAAAATGTCACAAGTACTAGCAAATAAGCTACCTTTTCATGTACTTAACAACCAGATCTAACTTTTCCAAATCTTTTTCTTCTATTAGATCAGTACAATACTTCACAACCTGTAGAATGTCTTCTTCCATAGGATCTGTAATAAAAAACCAAAACAAGACAACTCTCTAAGTATACTTAGAATATAATCATAGAATAACTGGAATATAATAGAAAGAAATTCTGCAGTGTTAGCGCATCAGGGCATGATCTGACAATTGCTGTATTCCCATACCTCCCTTGACATCACAAGTTGTGTACATAAAAGGACTGCAAGGTCCTGAAATATCTGTCTCGTAGATCTCTCCTTTTTTTCCTTCACCAAGAAGAAATAACAGCCAAGCTACTATTAGCCAAAGGGAAAAGAAGTAGGGATTTAGAATGAAATGGCTGTTTTGAAACTCTTAGGAGAATAGTAATGTCCAGGGCACGAAGGATCTCACAGGTCAGATTTCCCAAGATATTAAGGCATTGCTAATTGTTTGACATAATGTTAAAATTAAAATCACAATTAGCAATGGTGTTACACTTTTGCACTATATTCTAGAATTCTTTCCAGCAGTTATTTTGCAAAAAAAAAAAAAACAAACAACTGCATTCTTTTGCCTCTAAAATGACATCTTCATAAAAGCAGAATTCCCTTTCAACAGCTTTCATCCTAGCAGTTGTAAGATGTTGGATGAAATAAGGAAAACCTCCCACATGAGTAACATCAAGGCAAAAGACAAGGGCCTGACAAATGGGTTGAAGAGAGAGCAGGTAGATTTTCATGATGTTAAGCAAGAAACACGGAGTAACTGAGTAGGAAGAATCAAGTTACTCCAAGATTGCAAGGCAGTAAGATTTCAAGATTATTGTGAAAAATAACCAGTGAAAGGAAGAGTGAAGGAAGAAAGTACAAAAATCCTACTAAAAAATAGTTTTCCTTGTGATGCATGCAAGATCATCACTAGCATGACATCCCATACCTGAAATAGTTGTAATCCATTCTTTCAACAACGTCTTTACATCACTGAATTCAACAGCTCCAGCGAGGTTGGGTGCTTGTGGCCTAAATGAACCAGGCTGTTCAGTCTGCAGAGCTGATGGGCCTGAAGAATCTGAAGTGGATGGAACTGCTTCCGGCTGTTTCAGACATAAAAGTTGGTAACGCTCAGTCTGACAGATACGGTAACACCATATATACACATAGATAAGTGGCTAGTAAAGAATCCAGTAAAGAAAACAAGCTGCATTTTTGAACATGATCTAAAGAAATGGACATAGCTTTACCGAAAGCTGTTACTGTTAAAAATTACCTGAGCAGCTGTTCCTTCTTGTTTCAAGAAACCATCTATTAGCTTCTGTGGGCTTCCAGATGTAGCCAGCATGTTTTTTGCAGGGCTACCAACAAGTTTGGTTTTCAAAGGACTCTGAATCTTTTTTACGGGACTGACCGGATTTTTTTTCCTGATTTTTTTCTTATTTTTCATTGTTGCATGCTTCAGGTGTAGGAAAGGATTTTTTGACACTGAAAAACACAGGAATAGTCAGTGGTTGATACATTTAAAATTTAATATTTTTCCATTGAAAGGGGGACTCTCTATCTTCCATAAAAATCTATGGATCAACTGGGAGAACATAACCTAGATAAAGTGACTTAACATTCACATGCCATTCCAGATACGGGCAATGTTTTAAGCTTTTGAAAAGCACTGCTAGACATTAGTGTACTCAGAGGACACTTGACTATTCATAAGCCTTTTAATATCAAGCATTTCAGTGCTTCAATATGAGCAGCTGGTGAAATCTGAAGCCTACTGGATGAATTGCTTCTCCTCTGTCAGAAGACTGTCCCACCTAGATACCCACTAAGACTTCCCACCAGTGGTTATCAGCAAAACCAGCAGCAAAATGCCCCCCAAACTGATTTTATCATAGTTTACCAAGGAAATTGCTCACATTCCATCATACTAATGTATCAGCATTAGTCCACTGACTATGAAATCAAGGTTTGATTATAATAATGCAGTATTTAACTGGCAATGATCCCAATGACATTTCCAACCTATTTTATGACAAAGCATATGCACAGGGAATGAATCTTCTTTCTTTCCACTGATTATAAAAAGGAGACCTGGGTGATCAGCTCAGAGTAAAACCATCTGACTATCAGACATATGGTGAGATATATCATATCTCTAGTTGCCTGAAGCCCATACCAGTGCTATGGATTTCAAGGAACCATAAGAATGCTGTCTGAACATAGTTTAACTTGGGTACTGAAGATGCACTACTTTAAATCACGAGACATATCAAGTTTAGATTCCATTCAGCAAACATATGGACATGGGTAAGTTTAGTGCCACAGTCTCAATTAATTGAATTAATTACCCATTTAAGTAAAGCTAGGCATCTGCAAAATGAGACCACAGCTGGTTGTAATTGTCAGTCTGTCAAAAATAAATACAGAAATTCGATTTAACACAGCATCTTCATAGTAGCTTTAGTTATATTTTCCAGTTTGTTAATTAGGGTTGCATAAATCTCTTTGAATAGTAAACAACTCCTATGCAAACTACTGTACAACTATACATACTCACCAAAAGTGTTAGCAGGTTGCTGCTCTGATTGCTTTTGCCTTTGATCATATGCATCTTTCAGCTCTGCTTGCAACTCAGCAGGTAGTGCAGCAAAAACCTCAGGGTCCACCTGAACAGTAACAAAAGATTCATTTGATTATTTTACCAGTGAGCAACAAACACTGCTTGCTTTCCTCTAGATCACTCACATGAGAAAGGTATTTACATTTTATGCCAAGCAAAAATAAATGAGATATAACTGAAACACTGTAAAATATGTTGTACATTTTCTTCATGTATTTTAGCTTGTAAAAATCATAAAATTTTCCTTTTAATATTATTCTACATTTATTATTTTATAAAATTACTATTTATGGGCCTATAATACACTAACTATCTTTATTCACCTACTTTATTCACCACTATCTTTATTCACCTACTGATATACAGTACAGCTATATTAACAGTGTAATTAAACTTAACTCAGAGAATGCTCCCTTCAAATTTCCAAACTCAAACACTGTGATAATCAGACTTTTGTTCCTCTCTTCCTTTTAACACATCTATTTGCTGGAAGCTGCTACAGTCCTCAAACAAAATATCCTTGGAAATGGTCTCACTTCTTTAAGGATGGGAAATGTAAGTCCAGCTACCTCATCTTTTGAACTACAGCAAAAGGGTTTCTTTTCTTTCTCCCACAGTTGTCCACCCGTTGTTTGACTGATAAAGTCCCTTCCAACTGTCCTAAGGGCTTGAATTCTAGACAGGGAATCATTTATTGCCAATTGCGATACACACTCATATGGACAAAATAAAATTTCATGTATTATGAGTTATATTCCCTCACTGTGAGTCTGAAGCAGCAAATTAGTGACAGACTAGTCTTGTATTCTGAGTTTCCCCCAATATTACTGGACTGTTTTTTCAGCTCATAATCTGCAAAATCCAATTCAAAAAAGCAAACCTATCATTTAGAGGATTAAATCTGCCCAGTGGGAGAGTGCCCTTCATTTCAGTCGTAAAATTCAGATGTGCACAAAAAAAAAAAATTATTCAAAACCTACTATTACTATTCTAAGAGCACAATACAATTTCTACCAATATCAGAGACGCTGTATTTATTACCATCAGTATGCATGTGTATTAAAAGTTACCTCTTATTTTCAATAGAAATTTGATTTTTTTTTAAACCAAAATATGTATATCAGGAAGGTAGGCTGTTCTATTCAGATAGGATTATATAGATAATAAACACGAACATGTTCCTACAGGTAAAACTCATCAATTTAGCACATTTTTTCCATTTTTAGAATTCCATGTGCCAACACATTTTGCACCACACAAAGTACGCACTAATTAAAGGAAGAAATGGGAACAGCTCTGACCTCAATTACTGCACACATTGTGCAGAACAAAGTGCTGTAGTGGAATGTAGCCAATTAAGTCCAGAGGCTGAAGTTATTTTTTAAATATAAATTTCATTTAATAGAACTATTTTTAAAAGGTTAGTGTTCTCTGTTTGAGCATTCGAGAGTCAGGAATTTGGGAGGCCCTGAGTTAATACTGGTTTTTGTGTACACCATTAAATAATTCATGCGGAAATAATGCAGCACACGAAACTGGACGTGTTTTTGTTATTCCCCCTATCACTGCCCTCTGAAAGTGTAACATGTAAAAATTCAGTTAGAAGAGCCATCAGTCAAGTTCATATGAATTCTACACCAATTAATTGGAGTTTCTGGTAATTTACTGTACAGCCAGTCCTAACATAGCTTTCACATAGCTGTATCACATTCACATTATAGAGAACTTTGATTTTATAAATTCATGTATTACCTCAGCATACAGCTATCAGTATTTTTGAGTGCTGTATAAATTTCCTCAGAAGGAATCTATACCACACTAAGACAATGTAAGGATGAGGTGCAAATTTGCCACCAGTAATTACCTCCACTACTACAAATATTGTTGATTTCTAAGCATCTGTAATCTTCTTGCATCCTATGCTTTTACAGCATTCAGCTGCTACAGAGATATACAGCTCTTCTACATTTTCAGATTACTTCAGCAGCTGATGGAAATGAATGCAACCTATCCGGATTCTTCTTATGGGAGAACCTTACCCAACAAAGGACATTTTTGACATTTTCTAATGAACAAATCACTATCAGCCAATTAACCTGGCACCTGGTCATAAAACCACAGTTCAGACAAAAGGAACGACGGGTTGAAAACCAAACCCAATTAAGCTATAAAAAGATGTCAGGGCATCATTTACATTTGCTGAGTTGACGTAGCTAAAGTACTCAATCTGGAGTGGCTTGCAATATTTCTATATACCTGAAATCTATTATATATCTATATATACCTGAAATCTATTATTACGTAGTTCACTGCATCATTTGGAAGAAAGTAATCTTAAATGTTTGTGTGCGCTCATACAATAAACAGCCTCACAAAGACTTTAACAGGAAAAAAATTGTGTCAAACTACGTTTAGACAAAGATGGCATTTTTAAATTAAGTTCAAGTTTGATTTTAACACACACAAAAAAAATCTTCCCGTATTAATGAACTGGTTTCAGCTTTTTTTTTTTTCTTCCAAGCCTAAGGAAGCTATTCAACCATATTATTCTAGATATTAGACTTGGACCTAACTCAGAAAATGAAAATTGTAAATCTTAGTTCTCTTTTTGCCAATAAAGAAAGCTGAAAGGTTTTCAGGAGAAAATTCAGAGTACAAGCATATGGCATTCTAAAATAGATAGTATGAATATCCCTGAAAAATAAATAGGAAGTAGCAAATTCTTCTTGAACTACATCTTCAAACAAAAAGGTTGCTCTGCTAAGCTGGCATTTTTGGATCAAGTAACAGAGTCACAAAATGCATTAGGAGACAGAGACAGGAAAACCAGTGTGTTTGGGTGTGTAAATTAGGTATTTCTAAGACAATTTCAAGTAATGCTGTTATAAAAAGACAACAATCAATTCTCAGCTACCTAATTAATAGCTAGATAAAGCATAAACACAAACTAAATGCAATTTTTATAGAAAGCAATATGCAGTTAAAATTTACCTGAAAAAGAGTACCAAGTGGTAAAACAAGTGCGGAGGGGTGTACTTTAAAGCACGGCATAATTTAACACACAAGTCCAAGATAAACTCTTGCTTATGAATGAATCTAACTACGTAATTTAAAACAGTGGGGGTATGGAGAGGTCTTATACTATTTGCACAATATCTCCATAGGGGAAACCCAAGTTTGGAGTTCAAGAATAAAAACTGACACAACTGTTTTTAACAAATGAACTTGAATCAAGGTGAAGAAATTTTACCCGTAGAATAAACTACCCATCTTCCAAATAATAATTATGCATTAACTACTATATGCTGAAAATAGGTCAGGAATTTCTATCCAATTTTCTGTGGATTCTTTGCCAGCTAAGCAGCATTATGCCTTAGAAACAGCAACAAATATCTCTCTCTAAATCTGATTAGGTGATATCACTTCATTTGAGAACAGCAATGGAGCAATGCACAGCAAAAAGAAAAATAAAAATACTGCTCTGTTTTAAATGATGCGTATGCAAGGTATTATATCTCTGAGTCACCCAATCTTTGACTTTTTTTTTTCTGTTTACCCTACATTTGTTCAGCATCATCTTGGATTGAAGGGTGGAATATCATTAGAGGCATCATTACTGCTACCTGTTCCCCCTTGCTATTTTGAGAAACAAGTTTGCACTTTCCTCATCCTGGACACACTGTATATAAACGCATTTAAAAATTATGGAGATATGCACAATCTTTAGCCACGCCTGCCTTTCTCCCAGGAATGTAATATAAACAATCACATCTACAGAAGCTAGTAGAGGTTGGCTTTACACCATCAAAACATCCACTTAAACAGAGTGAGTCTCCTGTGACTAGCTAAGCAGATTTTAGGACTGCTTCAGACTGATGGTGCAGTGTAGCCCAGCTGCAATGCAGAAATAAGGCTATTTACACATTGGATTGTAAATGAGGAGGTTTTACATTAAACAAACAAACATTACAGCAAACCCATAAGCATATTGATGACTATAAATCTTTAATAAATACTATCATACTATGTTGTGACAGATCAAGTTACATTTAAAAGCATGTATTTTTAAAGATATTAAAGGACCATAAATAATTATGGTAAGTCACAGATGCTAGTAACCCTGTCTCAAGAAAAAGCCGTTAACCCTTCTTATAGGTGGAAAGTTGATGTTTATTGATACCCTGCAAACATCCTACCTGTGAGAAAGCTGGCAAGGCTATCAGATTAATTCCCACATTGGTATTTGGTTCTTGGAGCTCTGGTATTTGTAAAAGCACTGTTCCAACTGGTTGTGACAGAAGTGCGGTGTTACATCCATTTATTGGCTCTTTTTTGCTATCTCCGTAATTCTCTCCTTGCTGAATGGTGTATATTTGCTCTACTTGTTCTCGGAGATCAGGCGGCAGAGCTTCTAGCACAGACTTATCTAGCTACAAATATATAAAAACTTTTAGATTTTTCTGAGGAAGGTAAAAGAGTTAATTTTGATAAAAAAATCAGTTCTACAATTCTTGAATTTTAGGAAAAAACCCATTCATTTTAATCTGTGTATGCAAACATACTTAGGAACCTGGCAGTTACACTCTGCATCAGCAAACTGTAAAAATGCTGTTTTATCTTTTCACAATGTTCAGTGGTCTCATGACAAATCATATATAAGGTTTCCTCTACAACTACCTAGCGATAAGGAAACCCAAATTCTGAGTTCAAATTACATAGGTAACATGTTGATATGAATACTAAATTGGTGTCTGGTACAAAGCAGTAAGCAATTAATTTCTTTCTTTATATAGTCCTAGGATAAATGTTACTAATTTACTTTAATGGTATCAGGTATGTTTGCATACTGTCAGACTCTTGTCAAAGATTTTGATAATGATATAAGCTTTAGAATCAAATTTTTGCTTGCCATAATTAGTACTTACCATCAATTAACGACTTGAAACAACTGAAATGACCCCTCAGCACCTAGAAGTTGCTGTACACAATGACAGCTGCACAAGTGACAGAATGAATGCAATTGACAAGCAGATTTAATGCATCATTTTTCTCTACAAGTAAAATTGAGTAAAACTATGTCAATAAATGCCAGTGTCTGCCTGTAAGATCTGCTAAATTAGATTCCATAGCAGTGCTAGAAAACTTTATCTTTTACCTTTAAGAAGAAAATTTGGAACTTATGACCAGATTCTGCATTTACAGAGAAGAACTACAAATAAAAGATACTTGGCTTATGGTAACTGAGAGCTTTTGATGAAAGCTGACTATTATTAAGCTCTTCAGTTATTCATTCCACATTCTGTTTGTGCTCCCTCATTCCAAATTTGCTACATATATATCTCTATAAACATTTTCTGGAAATCCTGAGTGTAAAATACTTGCTGTTGCTTGCCTAGCACATAATATGCAAACAGCAGTCTGGGACTAACTTTCTCCACTCCTTCTCTGTACCAAATTCTGTATTATATTCTGCATTATAATATGGTTATAGAGCAGAAAGAAAGATAAGCATATTGTGCCATAAGGCCACCAAAGCTTTAGGAACTCTACTGCACAGTTGGTGCATTTTCTGCTTGTTCATACACATTTCCTCCTATAGGAGGATCTGAGTATGTGGAGCTTCACGTTGTTCAGCCAAGTTGCTTTTAGATCCTGAGCTAGCTTGGGTATTGCACTATGGAAAAAATAGTTTTCTGCCAAAAGCATAATTGGCTTCTAAAAATGCATCAATATTTGGGAAAGCTGTTAACACCAACAAATGCTTTTACAGATTTAAATTACAGAAATCAAAATTAGAGATTTTTATAGAAAAGGTATAAGTAGATGTACATGCTAAGATACCTACAAAATTCAGTGCAAGTTGCTCATAGTACCTTATAACAGATGTCTGTTTGAATAACATGAGGGTTGGAAATAAAGAGGCTCTTCCTTTGTTAAAACACCCCTCCCCCCAAACCCCACAGAAACATCTTATTTAAATAAAGATTGTCCTCCTCTCATTTAAAAGGTGATATTCTGTACAATGTTAAATGTACATCTTAGCTTCAATATTATTTGAAGAAAATTTGAAAAAACACAGGAAGATCAATAATTAAATCTAAATACAAGTCTGACATTCTTTTAGACAGAAATTTAGAGCAGAGCCATTGTAACAATATATGAGGCAGTGTAAGACTAGTTGCCATTCAGTTCCTTCTCACTGACTAAAGCTTGAAGACAGATTTATAGTATAATTTGAAGTCTGGTATAGAATACATGACTTTAAGAAATTATGTGGAGAAGACTACCTGACTATTATTTGCCGGCATCTGTGGCAAAGAATATTGCTGCTGTAAAGAGGGATGGAAGACAGTTAGAAGTTCTGTCTTCATGAAAATGACAAAAAGTACTTGTCAAAATTCTTCTTGAGCCACTCATCAGTGATTAGGCTAATCAGAAATAATTTTTAAGAGCTAACATAAAAAAAGGGAATTTACAAATCTATATCATATTATAATCATATAAATGCTGAGCATTAACTATAGAATGTGTCTAATTTCTCTGATGAAGTTTTCCTGAAGTTTATTTTGTGTTTTTTATAATTAGGGTCTGGGCTTTGGTTGTGAAAGGTGGAAGGTAATTTTTTCAGTATTTCATCCTTGGCATCTTTTCCATTCCTGGCAACTGATGGGAAGGGAAAATGATACTGGAAAATTAAATTTCTTTCCTTTGAAAAAATACAATATTTTTTGAGCTAGTCTACAAATGACTGCTTTTTAAACATCCTTTTATTATGGCAAAATAGTTTTGCATCAATAACAGTTTCTTACTGTGCATCATACTGTACTAGAGTTCTTTTTATTTAAAAAAAGTGTAATGTAACTTTTTTTGCTCTATCCAAATAAGACGAACAATCTCAAGTTATTACAATATATTGCAGATGTTTGACATTCTCAGGTTTTACCTGGGAAGCAGATGGAACCTCAATACTCAAATTAAGCCTGGATTTTACGCTGATAGGAGAATGCACGCCATTCCATTTGACAGCAGACTCAGTGTTGTTAACATTAGAATTGAGACCAGATGTGAGATGGGAACCACGAGATGGAAGAAAAGTGCATGTTCTTGAATCAGAAGATATTTCAAGGTCCATAGCAGCCACAAATACTATAGGTACAAAAAGAAAACACAGAATGATCACCTAATAGTTAAAAATACTCTGAAGATTCAAGATAGAGTGCAGGTAATTTCCAGTTTTCTTTGCTGAATAGTTTATACAATATATAGCATAATTACACCACTTTCTATTTTAAAGTATCCTTTGTTACTATTAACTTTTAAAAATGATTGGAATAATCCTATACAAAGTTTTGTAGCATTTGTAGGATTTTCATTTTCAGCAGCAAAATCCACTCTCAGAGTTTATGTTAAATAACTTGTACTAGTATAACATTGAAAAATATTCCAAAAGGTAATCTATGTTGGAGCCCTTCAGAACTGATCATTATCACACATGCAAAGTACAAAGCTTACTGACCTTCCTTATGTTCTTCTTCTGAGCACTTTTTTGCTTTCTGAACATGAAAAAGATCAATAACTGAATGTGATCCACCAGGTAAGTGTCCAGATTGTACTGTTGAGCAAGCCGAAGTGGTTTTACTGATAGGAACTAACTGCTGGACTTGAATTCCAACCTAAATCCAAAATATCAATACATTCATTTTATGAAGTTTAAAAAATATATTTTAAAATATCTATAATTCTTGCATAATAGCATTGCCTTCTCTGAAATTGGCTGCCTGTTGTGGGTGGAGGAGAGAACGAATAAAAGTATGTTGAAATACACATAAACAGCCACTTTTTAAAAACTTCCCAAACAAATCCCAGGATTATCCACAATCCAACAACTAAGAAATTACAAAGATAATACCATCTTAACTTCTCTGATCTAGAAAAGTGCTGTCAACAGGATCATGAAACAATGTGTTTCTTATGAAATTTCTTAGACACTAACAAATAGAGAAGTACTGACCAGAAAATGATTAGTATTAAATCTGGCTACCTGTAGAAGAAAGGAATGTTTTTCCTGAGGACAATCTATACTAAACACATCATTTCAGTCTACAAACGAGAAAAATAATGTTGTTTCACTTCTAGACATGGTTCTCACAAAATCTCAATGGATGGAAGTACTTTGGTGAAAGTGGTCTTCGTCAGATGAGGTGTTCCTCATTTTGAAAGACATCCTCACTTTTCATTTACTTTTAAATGCCAAATCAACAAGAGTTCAAAAACTGTGTCCAACTGAGAATGCACTGGTACCTTGTGCAAGCTTACTGCTAATCCTCCATAATTATTAAGAAAAAAGACAGCAAAGGAGAGAGACAGACAAGAAACTAGAAAAAGACATGGAGAGAATTATAAATGTTTCCTCAGCTCCAAGAAGAAACTCAAGCCATGGAGCTGACTTTGCAAGGCAACATTATGAATCAAAACCCTACTTCTACATCTAGATGACCAATAAATGCAGGTTTGTTTTAGAAAGCCTCTGTGCTCCATTGAAACAAATCGCTGATGCCAAAATAGTCTTATAGTGAGTTCACATTGCTATGACAAAACCACTGAGATTAGCAAGAGCGTTCTAACATAACCCATGATTCAAAAGAGCCAGCAATTTAACTTCAAAGGTGAAACCATGGGTTGGTAACTTTTCTGGCTCTAAGACTTGCAGTCTAGAGCAAAAACTCCTCTGATCTGTATCTCTGATTGGCATTACAAACAGTATTTATATGAGTTTCTTAACTAATAACTGTGCAAAAGTTTACAGAAAACTCTAAGGCAAAATAAAATTTACACGTGCTAATAGAACTGTAGAATATACAGTCTAACTTTGTTACCTCAGGCTGTTTTAGGTTGCAGATTAATCCATATCATAATAAAATTTTCTTTTTTTTACATTTATGGCTTCGTAACCACGTTTTTCAAAGGTAAACATAAAAAACATAATATGATTGCATAGCCTAATTTACATAAGCTTTGTATTATCTACACTTTTGCTTAAGTTTGGTTACTGTCTACCCTGGAGAACTGAAAATTTATGAAAGACAATACAGAAGGTCGATAAAGAGAATAATTTTCAGTTTTCCCATAAACTCACCCCTCGCATGTCTGATATGTTCAGTTTCATTGTGTGAAACATATTTAGAGTTTCTTTCCCAATCACTTTTGCACTGTCTGTTGCGTGGTCTAGAGTCACAGTCCTACAAAGAATAAAAAAGTATGGTTAGAAAGGAAGCTGTTTCACAAATCCTAAAGACAACAACAATTCTGTATTTATTCCAGAGAGGACCTCAAAGAAAGACAGATTGTAATTTCTTGGCATACAGAAACTGAACACTGGTTTTGTTTGTTCTGTGGTTTCTTTTTAAAGGTAATTAGAACTAAGCATGCTCTACAGAAAAAAAAAACCCCAGATTACTTACTAATTGAACATTCTCACTGTGCAGTCTACACATTAAATTGTCAAATATAGTATGTATTTATATACATGCTGTCTGTTGAAGCAAGACAAAAATGTTTTACTTTACAGTATTCATAGAAATGCACTATCCTTTGCTCAAGCTTGGTTCATATAGAGTTTGCTCAGTATTATTTCAAATGTCAATTGTCAATGTCTACAGCAAGAGTTTCAGATGGAACTCTGAGGGAGAAGCAGGTACAGGCATGTGCACGTGGATTACAAATAACAAAGAACTTGGATTAATGGTAAATAACTTTAAGCAACATTCCAAATACACATCTTATACTGTGGGCAATTTTCTGCAACAACTCTCACAAAATTACCTGGTTGTGAGTTTTACAAATTGCCACCGAAGAGCTTGGCAGGGCACTAGTAGTGCTTGGTAGTTCTGGATTCTTTAATGGCACATTTGAGACAGATAAAGACAGAATTTCAGGTGGCTAATCAAATGAACGTGAGCGATGTAAAGTCTTTTCACTGAGGTAACTGATAGAGTTTCAACTCTGATGGAGTGGGTTCTATGGACAAAAGGAAGTTACACCTTGGTGTTTTGACAGAGTGCCATGCTGACAACTCACTAAACATGTTGATGGCATCTCCTTCAATTTTACTTTTGAATCTGTCAGAAACTGACATGAACAGCCAAGTGATCTCCAGAAAGGTCTGATTCTGTCAATATGAAAAGGAAAAACCTTCCTGCTGTGAATGATATGAAGACCCTAAGCCTTATAGGTTAACATTTTTAAGAAAAAAGGAGATCAATATCACTCTTAAGATGCAACTATACAAAATATTAGGGAGAAATGTAGGATGGGTCTAAAGGTACACACCATTTCAGAAGAATATTTTACAAAGGCCTATGCTGTACTATCAGGACTTGATACCAATGATGCAGTAAAATACCATTAATATCTCAGAAGTTAAATTTGATTTTAAGTGTATCTGCGAGTCTGAATCCTTTGCAGGACTATGATGATCATTTTAAGGAATCTTGACCTGTAGGATGAGAAAGTGTAGCAACTCATTCACCTGTGAGGTGAAGGGACAAGAAATGTGTCATGAGCTACAGCTACAGAGAAAATCTTAAACTGAAGTAAAAGAGAAACTGGTCACCTTTAGCTCCAGTAAATAATCCCAAACTGTTAGAACTAGGCTGTAGGGTTTTTTTTACACACCTGAGGGAATATCACCCTGAGATTCTAACCCATTTGCCAGGATGCAACTTCCAGAGTTGACCCTGCTGCTGCTAGAAAGCCTTTCACTGAACTGAACAGAAATGCTCTAATGAAGACAGTAATACTCCACCTATATAAAACTAACAACAACAACAACAACAACAATAATAATATAAATAGCATAATTTGAATTGACTGAGGTTGCCAAGTTCATTAGTAAAGCCAGAAGCAGAAACAGAGACACTGCCAAATGAGATCCTAGCATCAGACCTGCTTC